GGCCCAAAAAAAAACACTTTCTCCCAACCACCCCTGTAAAAATTCCCCTCAAAACCAACTCCCCCCCTTGGGGGGAAAGGCGCCCCCTGGGGAAGGGGGAAAAAGGGGGGCCCCCAGGTTCCAAACCCGTTTGGAAAGGGTCAAGAAAAGGGGAAAGGAGGGTGTTTTTTCAAACAAAGGCACCAAGCCCTTTTTGGCCAAAAAAAAACCATGGTGGAAAAAAACCCTTGTTCTCCCTTTCCCTACCCCTAAAAAACTTAAACCCACAAAAAAAAATTCCAGCCAGGCCAATGGGTTGGGGGGTTTTGGCCACCCTTTGCCCCAAAGTTCGCCCAAGCCTACTCAGGAAGGGGCCTGGGGAACGGGGGGAAAGGGGGGGAAGGGGAAAAAAAAATCCACCTTTTTGAAACCCCCCGGGGCAAAAGGCCCCAAGGAAGCGGCCCCTGCAAAAAAATTAAGGCTTTTTTAAAGATTTCGGGGCCCCCCCCCCGCCACTTGCACTTCCAGCCCCCCTGGGAAAAAACAGAGGTTGGTGAAAGGAAACCCTTCCACCCTTTCCCCAAAAAAAGAAGGAAGAAAAAATTTATTTATACCAATAAAAAATTACCCCTTGAAGCATAATTACCCTTTTTTCTTTTAAAATGGTTTTTTTTTAGGCCAAAAAAATTTTTTTTAAAAAAATTGGCCCGTTTTATGGCACCCCTAATTCTAAAACAAGGTAAAAATTGCCCCTATAATTACAGAGAAAGGGGCCCCCCCAGGCCCCAAGTGGGGCCCCCCTTCAATTTTTTTTAAAAATTCCCCCCCCCCCCCCTTTAATAAACTTTTTTGTGAAAAAATCTATTTAAAATTGTTTTTTTTTTTTTGAACCTGGCCCCTTTTTTTTAAAAATCAAATATTAAATAAAAGGAAAAAGGAAAAAAGAAAAAAAAAAATTTGGAAAAACAAAAAAAAAAAGAAAATTAGATTTTCCCCCCCAAAACTCAAAATTGAAGTTAAAAAAATTTTTTTCCTTTTGCCTAACCCCGAAAAAAAATTCTTTCCCCCCCCCCCCCCCAAAAAAAATTTTGATTAAAAACCCCAAAATGGGTTTAAAAAATTCTCCCTTTTTTTTCCCAAAAAGCCAGGGAAAAGGCCCCCCCCCCAAAAACAGGATTCCCTTTTTCCCCCCCAGCTTGTTTACTCCAAAAGGCCTTATCAAAAATGGGGGGGTTAATAAAACCAAATGAGAAAAAAGAGGAAAGGTTTTTTTTTTTTTTCCCCCTTGTAAGTCGTCTTCCCTCTCCCAACAAAAATATTTTTTTTAAAATTAGCCCTTCACCCAATTTATAAGGGGAAATTAAAAAAAAAATGAAAATCCCCTTTTTAAAGAATTTGGTTTTTTTTTTTTTAACTTTTTTTCTTTTTTTTTAAAACACATTGGAACAAAGCGCCGCGCGCAAAAATTTTTTTTTTTTTTTTAAACTAAGAGAGAAAAGTTTTTTCCCCCTACAAATAAACCTTGAAAGCCGTTCTTTTGCAAAGGTTTCCCCCCCCGTTTGGTTGGCCCCCCTTTCCCCCTAAATCAATAACCGCTAAGCCCCCATGGCCCCACTTCCCCCGGGGAAGAAAGTGGGTTACTGTTTAGCCTACGGCCCCATGGGCCCCCTTCCCAAGTTTTCCCCCCCCTTTCCATTGAAAAGATTAAAAAATTGGAAACGGTTTTTTTTTTTGACCACCACTCAACGAAAGGGGGTCCCCCCAAAAATGGGGGGGAAAAAGTTTCCCTTCCCCCAATGCGAAAAATGTTTCCCCCCCCCCCCCAACCCTAACTAAATTATTGCAAAATTTTCCCGCCAACCCCCCCAACCCCGAACTTGTTAGAAAAAAAGGCCCCCCCCCCAAAAGGGGAAACCTGGGAAGCGGTTTTTGTTTTTTTTCCCCCCACTTTTTAAAAGTTTCCAACAAACCACTTTTGTTTTAAATTCCCCAGTGGCCCTTTTTTTTTTTAAGATAAGATTCACCAAAAAGAGGGAGCTTTTTTCCTGGACCCTAAGAAACCCCCCTTTTCCCCCCCTAAAAAATAAGGAAATGAAAAAAGAAACCCATCACAACAAAGGTAAAAATAAATAATCCAAAACCGCCCCCCAGGCCCTGGCCCTTCAACAAAAACTCCATAATTCCCCCTGAACATGGGGGGGTGGGAAGGATTTGGAACCCCTTCGAAGTAAAAATAATACCCCCAAGGGGCCCCAGACCAGTGGGGGAAATTGTCCCCCCCTGGCAAAAAGGGACAAAAATTGATAGTCGGTTCTTGTAAGGTTGGAAAGGCCCCCTGGGGCCCGGAAAAAAATTTGGGAAAAAGGCTCCATGCGGCCTTTTGCGTAATACCAAACAAAAAAATTTTTGGGGGGGAAAAACAAGGTTTTTTGGGGCCCCCCCCCCTTTTTCTGTTGTTACATGTTTTTTTTTTTTTTTCCCCCTCTTTGAAAGGGGGGGTGTACCCAAAACTAAAGGAAACAAAGTTGGGGATTTAAAATCCAAAAAACACGGGAAAAACCCTTTAATTTTTTGCGGGGGGTTTTTTAAAATCAAAAATTTTTTTTTTAGAAAGAAAAACCACCCATCTTTTTCTCCTAGAATCCCCAAATGTACAATATGGTCCACCCCTCCATTTGACAGGAATTGGGGAAAGTAAGAAGAAAAAGCAGAAGCCCCCCACTTGAAAGTATGAAAAAAAAAAGGAAACGGACCCCCTTGGAACCCCCAAAGAGGGGGACCCCCCTCCTTTTTGGGGCCCCCCCCCCTTTCTTTTTTTTAAACTTTGGATTTTTACCCCTCATTCCCTTAAATAACCCCTTACTTTTTTTCAAGTAAAAAAAATTTTTCCCACTCCCCCCCAAAATTGGACCTTTTTCCCCCAACAGGTTTTTTTTTTTTTCCCCTTTAACAGTTGTGCATTTCTTTCAAACTGGGTTTAAAAAAAAATAAAGGGGGGAAAAATTTTTTTTTTCCTTTGGAACCCTGGACAAAAAGGGCGGAAGGGTATCCCCCCAAATTGGAAAAACCCCTTTTTGGCCCCCCCCCAAAATCCTAAGTTTTTTTTCCCCCCCCCCCCCCTAACTACCTTTTCTTGATCCCCTGGGAAAAATATCACTTTCCTTTGGGTGGCAATTTTTTTCTACCTTTAAATACAAAGCTAAAATGGGGGTAAACCCCCCGCCACCCCTCTACCTTTTTGTTAAGAAAAAAAATCCCCCACCCTTTCCCTTGACACCAAAACGTATACCCCCCAATTTTGTTTTTTTTTTTTACTTTGTTCCCCATTTTAAAAAAAGGGGCCCCCCCCAAAACTTTTTAAAAAGGGGGAATAAACTCAAATTTAAATTACTGTTTGTATTTTATTTTTAGAGACAAGATCTCACTCTGTCACCCAGGCTGAGTGTAGTGGTGCAATCATGGCTCACTGCAGCCTCAAACTCCTGGGCACAAGAGATCCTTCCACCTCAGCCTCCCAAACAGCTGGGTCTACAGGTGCGTGCCACCACACCAGGCTAACTGTTAAATTTTTTGTAGAGTTGAGGTCTTGCTATGTTGCCCAAGCTGGTCTTGATCTCCTGGTCTCAAGCAATTCTCCTGCGCAAGCCTCCCAAAGTGCTAAGATTACAGATGTAAGCCACTGCACCTGGCTTTAGTTTTTTTTTTTAAAGGGGAAAGAGGATAAGTCCCCTTTTCATTTCAGACTCTTATCAGTGAATTCTTAATAAAATTCAGAACTCCAGTGTTCAAGACAGAGTGACTAATTTAGCACATCTAGAAGAGGATCTCTCACTTTCAAGTTTTAACCATAATTCTAGGAAACTTTCCAGTAGCTTCTAAACTATAATAATTTTGACTACCTGTTTAAAATTCCTGAGGTGGGGAGTTCGAGACTAGCCTGACAAACATGGAGAAACCCTGTATCCACTAAAAATACCAAATTAGCCAGGTGTGGTGGCACATGCCTGTAATCTCAGCTGCTCGGGAGGCTGAGGCAGAACTGCTTGAACCAGGGAGGCAGAGGTTGCAGTGAGCTGAGATCGTGCCATTGCACTCTAGCCTGGGCAACAAGAGCGAAACTCCATCTCAAAAGAAAAAAAAAAAAAGCAATTAAGTGCTTACAGAAAAACTCCTACCCTACCTCAAATTCTACTAGGGAATCACCATACTTTATTTACTGTTTCTTCTTTGACCGTGAACATTTATCTGATAGCACATGCTATATAACTTGAATGTTTATCTCCCTCAAAAACTCATGTTGAAATTCAACCCCCAGACAAGCACAGTGGCTTAGCCAGGTAATCACAGTGCTTTGGGAGCCGAGGTGGGAGGATTGCTTGAGGCCAGGAGTCCGAGACCAGACTGGGCAACATAGCGATACCCTATCTCTACGAAAAATTAGACAGACATGGTGGCACGCACCTGTAGTCCCAACTACCCGGGAGGCTGAAGCAGGATGATGGCTTGAGCTCAGGAGTTTGAGGTCACAGTGAGCCACGACCTGGGCGACAGAGCAAGATGCACATACGTACATATGTATAAAGAAATTTAATCTCCAATGTAATAGTATTAAGAGGTAGGGCCTTTAAGAGGTGAGGAGGTCACAAGGGCTCTTCTCTCATGAATGGGATGAAGGCCCTTTCCCGTCTATCCCTTTTGCCATGTGAGGACACAACATCTAAGCCACCAGCTTGTAAGCAGAGACCAGGCCCTCATCGGACACCAAACCTGCTGGTACCTTGATCTTGGACTTCCCAGTCTCCAGAACTGTGAGAATAAATTTCTATTATTTATAAATTACCCAGTCTCAGGTATTTTGTAATACTAGCACAAAGGGGCTAAAACAGAAGAGCTCTCAGAAAGTGTAATATTTCACCAGGCTCTTTCATTTCTCTTATAAATTAAATTATTCAGAGAAAGAAACTACTGTTTTCTATCACTGAAATGTGATAAGTATCTATGACAGAAAAAAGAGATATTCATTTACTTTGAAATTACTTTAATTTAGAAATAGAAAACATCTTGAAAGGAAAAGAAACCCACAAAATATACAGGCAAATTTGTATTCTGTGAGCTTCTCACACTCTCACACTTGTTCACCAATCTCTAAGATGAAAAACTCTCTTCCAAAATGTATTCAGCCACCACTGTAAAAGAAAGAAAAATTATTACTTCTGAGTAGAGATATAATTTTAATAATTATTATTTGAAATGCAATATGCTATAACTTTAATGGCTCAAGACCAATTATTTGAATCCCACCTAACTTTATCTAAAGATGGCATAAAAGAATGGCACAATGAACTTTAAAATCCTGGACCTGAAAAGATGATGTGGTTACTGGCAGAGGTCTATGTCTAAACTCACAATGCTCATTCAGGAAATGCCATTTTGGAACAGTCTAGCCTTTCTGAACACAACAAAAAATATCAATTATATGACAGGATGGTTAGCTGAGAAGCTTTTCAATTTGATAACGTCAACACACCAGCAGAAAGTAGACTGCACATGAGCACAAGGTGCTCAAGCACCGCATCTTACCATAATCATTCCAAAATCTGGGTTGGTCATGATGAAAATAAAAATCATGTTTTCTACAGAAGAACTTCTGAGTTTTAAAAGCATAAACATTAAACCTGAATAGTCAGATACACATTTTAGTGATGTTAAAGCAAAATAATTCCATTACCAGAAGAAAATTACATAAAATAGGCCAGGTGCAACAGCTCTCACCTGTAATCTCAACACTCTGGGAGGCTGAGGGAGGCAGGTCACCTGAGGTCAGGAGTTCAAGACCAGCCTGGCCAACATGGTGAAACCCTGTCTCTACTAAAACTACAAAAAAATCAGCCAGGCATGGTGGTGTGCACCTGCAGTCCCAGCTACTCAGGAGGCTGAGGCAGGAGAATCACTTGAACCCGGCAGGCAGAGGCTGCAATAAGCTAAGATTGCGCCACTGCACTCCAGCCTGGGAAACAGAGTGAGACTCCACCTCAATAAAAGAGAGAAAATTATTACATAAAATACCCCTGAGCATATACTTTAATGTTTAGCATTTTAAATGCTTATGCTATTAAACAGTATTGCTATAATTAAAAGGCCAGCAAGTGCTTATTTTAAATTCTAATACTGTGAATATTAATTTTGACTGCTATAATTATAAAGAAAAAGAAGAAAAAAATTGTAAGAAAAAAAGATAATTCAACCCAATGAGTATTTCCCTTGCTACCATCTCCAAAATGATGTAAACAATGATTAATCCTCTTTCAAGCAGGGAAAGCAAGATTCCTTTCAGTTGTACAGCTATCATGGTATAACATGAGAAAAGAGTAAGTTTTCTGTAGTGTCTCTCACAAAATGTTTTAATTAGCCTTCACATTAAGATTAAAAAATATCTAAAGATAGATTTTTTAATTTCTTAAACATTGAAACCATTTTTTTAACTAGAAGAAAAGTTTTCTAAGTAACTAGCTTCTGAAAGGTTTCCTGTGTTGCTCTATCACTAGCCATGCAATCCGAGTGGTTACTTAGCCTCGCCATGCCTCAGTTTCCTCATGAAGATTAAATGAGTTGACACACAGAGTCATGGAAAGTTCTCAATGAATGTTCAACTACTATTATTGCCGCCACCACCATTAGAAAAGGCAAGAACCTGAAGTTGTTCACTTAATTCAACAAACACTTATTCAGTGCTTTTAACAGATACGAGAGAGCTCTGGACTAGACTCTATAGGAGAGACATACAGTATAAATAACAACGCAGGCCTGCCTCACAACTCATAATCTAATGTGAAGATGGACCTGAGTATAACCCAAGGCAGACAGTGATGTCTGGCAAAAGGGACAAAAATATAGGTTAAGTGAAGGCTGGCGAAAAAATTTGAAAGGTGCTTGTATACCAAAAAATTGGAAAAGGTGGGCTTACATGTTCCTCTGAAAGGTACAACTAAGAACAATGATTATCACAGGAAACTAATTTTGTTATCATTTTAAAGAAACACTTCCTATCAATTAAATATGTCTCATGACAGAATGGGAAGTAAGAAGAGCAGAAGCACTGAGTATGAAAAAGAACGGACCTGACAGAGACTCTGCCCCTTCTTTTTACTGATTTCCTCATTCTACTTCAGTATTCTCCCCATGACTCCACAGTTCTACAGTTGACATTTCTCACTGGTAAAATAAAGGGATTTCTGAACTGACAAAGGAGGTATCAGTGACTTGGGCCCATCTAGTTCTAACTACTTCTGATCCTGAATATCACTTTGTGGCAATTTTACCTTAATAACTATGGTACCCTACTTAAGAAATCCCTCTGACAATATACATTGTTACTTGTCATTTAAAAGGCAACCTGTACCAGTACCTGGGATAAAACACCTAGTATTTAGGAGATTTATAGGTTAGAAATTTTTTAAATCATTGCTTCAAACTTCACCACCCCATAAAATCAATTGATATTACTGATTGATATTAGATTTCAATAGCATATGGAAAGTTCTCAATGAATGTTAATTACTATTGCCACCATTACCATCAGAAAAGGCAAAGAACCTGAAGTTGTTCACTTAATTCCACTAACACTTATTCAGTGCTTTTAATGGATACAAGCACTTGAGGTATATCAGTGCTTACCTGATACTATTATCAGGTAATAATAGATTTTATTAGCTCCAAACAGTGGATGAGGCTGAGATTAAATGCATACAAAATCACAGAGTAAGTACTAAAATCCATACTAAGTCCTTACCCTAAACTGAATTACCTAATTGCTCTAATTGCTCAATGCCACAACATGTCCCATTGACTTGTAATGAATTTAAAAAGCAAAATTATTTGGAAACGAATAAAGTGATCCCAATGTTTCTCAGCCTTTTTTGCCTCCTAATATACTTAAAAGTTATGATATTCTCCCATCAGTAGCAATGGCTCATTACAGTAACAACTTTCACTCGTATTCTTACCCAAATTGTTTCTGGGGCCTTACATGACTTAAAGTCAGAATCCAAGTAAGAACTGTTATCCCCACTGAGTAAACTGAGCACAGAGAGGTGAGGCAAATTGCCTGATGCTAGGACAGCAACTGTATAACAAGAAAAAGGATTTGGATCTAGGCAATCTGGTCCAGAGTTAGAATTCTATCATAGCAGTGATTTTTGGATGGGAAGCATTTCCTCTGCTCCTTAGAGATTAACAAGATAACAGCACAAAGAGGACTTAGGTTTCAGTACTGGCTTTGTGACATATGAGTGTCTTTAATACTTTCTTGACTCTGTAAAATTTTATTTATTAAAGAAAATAGTGCCTAGCACACAGAATTTCTGGAAAGATCATTTAAGATCTAAAGGCGCTCAATCATCAGGTACTCGTAAATATCAGTAGACTCCAACAGCACTAAAGAGAGAGGCATCTCTGTATTAACGAAATAGCAGGCCGTCATCTCAAATGGTTTCAAGTTTCATTCAATCCTAGTCTATTTCATAAAGTTTACTTACACAATGATGTTATTAATAGGAATATGGATCAATTTCACAAAGAAGCCAATGAATCCCATTATAGCAAATCCTATTGCTGTTGCCATGGCAATCTTCTGGAATTCTGCATTTAAAAACAAGAAATTTACATATTTTTTGCACTGTCACTGAAAGTATTGGAAAAAAACTATCAGCAACATAAATGAACTTAACTAGTATACATTTATCCTGTTAATAGATATATAACTTAAAAATAAAAAGGTGAAACTGTTAATAGTAAACAAGTTGTTTGACAGGTTTTAAAATTTCCATGTTTTGTTGATATTTAAGGAAACATAACAGTGCATGTGTGTGCCAGTGAGTTCATCAACAAGTACTAAAAATATTTTTTCTTCTTAGCAAATGACCAGAAAATACCAAAATAAGGACATGGATGAAAGAAATATACATTATTTTTCTTAAGTTTTAAAATGTATCATTGTAATTTTTATTATAACGTATCGATTATACAGGCAGAAACATACCTTTTTTTGGTACATTATAAACAATGGGTCCAGTGCCTTTGCTATTATGATGAAGCCAAAAATAAGGCTTGAAAAATCAAGTTCGGCTGGGCACGGTGGCTCATGTCTGTAATATCAGCACTTGGGAGGCCGAGGCGAGCAGATCACCTGAGGTCAGGAGTTTAAGTTCGGCCTGGCCAACATGGTGAAACTCTGGCTCCACTAAAAATACAAAAATTAGCCAGGCGTGGTGGCAGGTGCCTCTAATCCCAGCTACTCAGGAGGTTGAAGCAGAATTGCTTGAACCCAGGAGGCGGAGGTTGCAGTGAGCTGAAATCGCGTCACTGCACTCCAGCCTGGACAACAGAGTGAGACAGTCTGAGTTGAGCACTATTTTATAAAACATTACACTGGTAATGTTACCATTTTATGTTACTTCCTAAGAGAAGCTTTCCCTGATCTCCTGACTTGGTTAGTCCTCCTATTATGTGCTGTCAAACTTTCTTCTAGTTATCTTCCATAATACTTACCACAGCAGTAATTAAAAAACATAATTGCAATAATTTGTTTATGACAGTCTTCCTTGATAGAGTCTAAGCTCCATGACAGCAAGGACTATTCCCTTTATTATATACTACATTACATACATGTTATATTCTCTATTATATTACCAGCTCCTAACTCAATGAATGAATACAAGTAGACAAACTGAACACATGAATCATGATAAATAACAAAATTAACTTTCTAGTTTGGCAAAAACTAGATTGTTGGTTTCATGTTAAGGTTTTGTTCATTGGGGTGGGAGTTCAGTAGGGAGACTTCAAAGCTTTTCCAAAGAGAAAATATGTAAGATACTAAAAGTCATAAAATATTATTAACTAAAATGTTACCTGGAACATAAGGCTGTGATAAATAATCTTACACCATTTGAAAATACATAAAATAAAAATTTAGACAAGAGTAAAAAATTTAGGAAGTGACAATGTTAAAAAGCCATCGAGCAGTATCAATCAATAAAAATGTTGGCGAAAGTAATGCAATGGCTGTTAATCAAGAAGATGTTAATCAAACAAAAGGCTCAGAAAATGCAAAGATTTAATTTTTTTTCTCATAGTCAAGCAATTACCTTTTCTATCAGGTTTAGTGCATCTTTTAACCAGCCGAATGGAGTCCTTTACAAACTGCCGACTTGGCTCAACAAACTGCATTACCTGATCCATGACTGCCTGTTTAAAATAAACAAAGATACTCACTGGTATTGGTTACCATATAATAAGCACTTACTCATTGATATCAAGATGTAAATGAGACCAGTCATTGAATTCACGTCTAACATGGGTCAATTCCACCTCCTAAAATAAAACAAAAAACAAACTCCAAAGCCTAAATTGATATTATTTTTGTAAATTTCAGTTAATTATCAGATCAAAGGCAATAAGAAAAGCACAGATCTTACTCATGATATCTTCACTGACAAAGAACAGCACACGCAATATAAAAAGCCTATCTCTATTAAGAGGTTAAAAAAGGTTAAGCAATTGATAACACATCCATTCCTTTTATGACTCTGCAGTCCCATCCATTTCTCATTCTACAGTCCCCTCACCGCTCCTAAGGAACCATCAATGTGGAGATCCAACAATTACTTTCCACATTTTATTTTAAACTATGCAGAAGGCAGTGTCTTGTACAGTGAATGCGAACTATGGTGCTGCAAGAGCCTAGAATGGAGGCAAACGTGAATTTCAACCTTGATTTTTCTAAAACGTGCCAATACAACACACTTTTCTAAAGTACAAAGAATAGCTAAAGCAAGACGCAAATTCTGAGAAGCTAATAGCTAAATTCCAAACTTTTCGATTTGAACACATCTTTTAAGGAAACAGGGCTATATATTTTACTATATATGTTCTTTAGAGGAGTCTATTACCCAACAGAAATGTCATCCGATGTTAGCTTTAAGAGCCACTGCTTTAGAAAGTAAAGAGATCAAAGTGTTACTTGTATTTTCCTCCATTTCCAGTACTCAGAACAGTGGCCAGGTGGTAGTTCAAATCACTGGCTATGGAATGTAAACCTCTGTAAGCCCCAGTTTCCTCACTTAATGCAGGCTGTGGACAACGAAATGAATTAATGTCAATGAAACACCAGGACTTCTGCAACATTCTGGGGGCAAAAACACAGTAATGTCTGTTTTCTCAGTATTTCACTTAACTTTGCTCTTGAAATCCAAAGGGCTTAAACTTTTTGTAATCATAGTTATCATGAAAGAAGCTAAGAATTCCTTATCCAGAAAAATGCACGCTACACACAATACCGCACTCAATGTCAGGGGTAGAGACCCAAAAACCAACTATGATCTCTCGAACTAGATTCTAGACCACTGCTCTCACTTTAAACTACGGGAGCGGCGGCAGGGCCAGAGCTGAGTACAGCCTTTCCCAGACAAGACTCCACACCCACACACAGAGCCAACCCCGAAGGCATCGGGCAGCAGGACATCATCTTTGGCTGCAGCACAAAAGACGCCGGGGCACGACGCTAAGCCCTGGAACCCCGCGAGCCGGCGACCCCGCTCGCCGGGAGCCCGCGGCCTTGGGTCTGCCTTCCGGCAGAGGCCGAGTTGGTGGGACGTCGGCGGCCAGACCCCGGCCCCAGACTTGAGCCAGGGGACCACTCATCGCCCGCCCCGCGACGGCCGCCCGGGGAGACACGCCGGCTCCCCTACGCCCGCTGCCCCCGCGAGTCGCAAAGGCGTGGCCGCCCGGTTCGCCCGTACCTACTGGCGGGAAGAAACTCACCTGCCCAACCGACACCTAAAATGCCAGAGACACGTAGCACTGGAGCGGACTGATGGAGGCCCACCGGAACCGGAATCCGGGTTTCTGCCAACAGCCCGCCCACTCCTCCGTCCTATTGGTTCCTTACGCGAAACCTCAGTGCGCAGTCGCAGCGCGACGTGCGTCCCGGCCACGCTTCCCGGAAGAGATGCATTGCGGAGCTCGTTGTTGGGGCGTTGGTTTTCTTTAGGAGTATGACTCTAGTGTCAGCCGTTTTTCTCCCGGCTGGATCCAGGGTTACCCTACCAGCCCGACCTCAAACCACTGGCATCCACAGCACGAGCCCCAGCGGCCTTGCGCGGTGCTTGCTCTCTGGTAGCGGCTGACTAGGTAAATCCTAAGTTGTGGGGTTTTTTTTCCTGCGGTCCAGCTTGTTGTGTGTCTTTACGGTACATACTTTTTGTATGTTTATAATGTTGGTGGAAATGAAGCTTATGAGCAATACAACGTTATGGCCTAATTCAAAATGGTATCACCACCCTAAACTTTGACTTTGGCTGTCATTCACGGTAATGAATGCCGCTGTAATTGAGGCCGTTCTTTGTCAAACGCTAGGTTTGGTTACGGGAGTGGTCATAATGTACACACAGCTCCCCACTTATCCACAAGGATGCATTCCAGGACTCCCCCGCCCCCCGGGGCTGAAACCATCAGTAGAGACGGGGTTTCACCATATTGGCCAGGCTGGGCTTGAACTTGTGACCTCGCTATCCACTCTCCTCGGCGTCCCAAAGTGCTGGGATTACGGACGTGAGCCACCGCGCCCGGCCATATTTCCTTTTAGCAATGGAGCATAACTGGATCTGAGGAACAATATAACTCTGGAACAGCTGATAGAACATTAAGAGGTGTTACAACTCTCAGTGCTTCTTAAACTTCAGTAACTGAAATCTCCTGTTAAGTTTTTTAGTAAATGAAATTTGTAACCCCAGAACCTCCAGATACTGATTCGGTGGGTCAGGGTTAGAGGCCACACACCTCCCTATATGTGACTGTAGGTGGTCTGTACACACTACACATACCTTACCTTAGCCTTAAGAGTCACTTTTAAATTCTGAACGAACTGAGATGCGTTTGACTAGTTCTTCCTCCCTAGGACTTCAGCCCATGTATCATCTGTTTAGAGGCCAGTAGTGACCATCTAAGGCAATCCTGTCTATCTCATGCTCTTTTTTCCTTTTTCACAATACCCTCTTCATTTGCTGCATAGCATTTGTATTAATATGTATTTATTTACTCCTCGGTCTGTCTCCCTACACTGTAAATCCCCTTACTAGACCATAAGGTCCAAGTGGGTATAGCATATCTGGGTTACTCACAGCACCTAGTAAAGTATTAAACACAGTAAATGCTCAATAAATAGTTTTCAAAAAAATAATTCATTCCACAAAAAACGTAAAATCACATGTTGGCAAGTTCACCCCAACCACCAAATGTCTGAGTTCACAGTATTTTCAGCAAAACACAGAAAATCAAGTAACACATACAGTGGTTCCCCTTATCCAAGAAAATCTGGTTCAAAAAGAGGTGTGTACCAGAAGGTAATGTGACAGAGGCCACATTCAAATTCTTTCATTACAGTGTATTGGTTATAATGTCTACTCACCTTGAGTTCGGGAGTTTGCGACCAGCCTGACCAACATTGAGAAACCCTGTCTCTACTAAAAATACCAAAATTAGTCTGGCATGGTGGCGCAGGCCTGTAATCCTACTACTCGGAGGCTGAGGCAGGAGAAGTGCTTGAATTCAGGAGGTGGAGGCTGCAGTGAGCGAGGTCACATAACTGCAGTCTAGCCTGGGCAACAGAGCAAGACTCTGTCTTAAAAAAAAAAAAAAAAAAAAAAAGCCAGTAACAGCAGATCTGTGCAAAAATACGAATCAACCAGAACTCTAGAACTCTAATTCTTGGTTACTAGGAGTGTAGAATGGCATAAATCTTTGGGAAAAGTTTAGTAGTTTATCATAATACGAAGCATATATGCACCAACTATGGCTCCACAATTCGAATTCCAGGTACTTATTGAAGCTATATGAAACTAAATTCACAAAAAGACTTGTACAGGAATGTTCATAGTAACTTTATTGATAACAGAACTAAAAGCAACTGGGTACCATCAATAGAATGAATAAAGATACAGGTATAGTCCCACGACATAATAGTACTCCACAGCTAAGGAAAGAAAACTGTCTGCCACAACATTGATGAGTGACAAACACGGTGAGTGAAACACGCCTACGCTAAAGAAGGCATAGTGTGCAGTTCCATTTGCAAGTTTTGGACAAAGCAAAAATAATGAATGGTGGAAAAAATCAGAACAGTGTTTGCCTCGGGGTACAGATTGAGAGGGCAGGTGAGGGAACTGGGGAGTGAAAGTAACACACTGTAATTTAACAGGTCTCAGGGTTTCACAGGGGTCTTAGTCAATGTGGGCAGCTATAACAGAATATCATAGAGTGCTGGCTTACACAACAAACGTTTATTTCTCACAGTTCTGGAGACTGGAAGTCAGAGATAATGGTCAGGTTCTTGTAAAGGCTTTTCCTGGTTTATAGAGAGCTACTTTCTCCTTCCATTCTCACATGGCGGGGGGGTGGAGGAAGAGAGAAAGAAAGGACCAGCTCTCCTCCTCTCATAAGAACACTAATCCCAACGTGAGGCTTCAGCCTCTTGACCTGATTACCTCCCAGAAGCCCCTCCTCCAATTTGGAGGCACACAAACATTCCATCCATAGCAGCAGATCTGTGCCTTTTACCTCAAAACAAAACAAAACAAAACAAAACTCAACAAATATTGAACTCTAAATTATACAATTGTCGATGCATTTAGGAGGGAAATGTACAGGTATCTACAACTTATTTTGATTTAAAAAAGGGCAGGTTCATGGTTAGAGGAATAATATGTGTTAGAGGAATTATTTGTGATAATGCAAAGACAACAAAATGTTAAATGTAGACTTAGTTGTGGTGTAAGATGTTCATTGAATAACTTTCAATTTTTCTGTATGTTTAAAAATGTTTGTAAGATGGAAAAAAGTCAATATATAGATCACCAAATCAAGTTTTAAAATTTTTGACATGAATTGTACTGAGTATAAATTGAATGTATATATGGCAGAAATTTTAAATTGACCCTCAATTTAAAAATACATGAAATATTAATAACATCATTTGAGATAAGCTGAATTAATATTCCATTTATATTCTTGAATCTCTGCCTGAAGCAAGAAAAAGTTTAAGAAGATCTATGGAGAACCAAGGACTCCATAGCACCTGTCTTTTTGTTTTGTATTACTTCATTTAGGTATTATGACAAAGTGGAAAGAACTGTATCTTTTGAAAAATGAAGTTGACACAGTGGTTGAAATTATGAAAGTGTCAACAGTTCCCCAGGAAAAATCAAAGACTGGACCTAGATACAAACATACAGAGTCTTTTAGACAGGAATATTTTAAGAGTTAAATGTGATGAGGTCAAATAAAGTTTACTCCCCTCCTCAAACCCTTTTTGAAAAAAACAGAATTTTAAGTACTATAAAAAAAGTTATTCCATCTTATTTAGTTAAAAATGCAATAACCAGAATAGGGTGGTGAAGCTGACGTGGAAGATTTAGATATCACAGAATTAGTTGCCAGTGACTCTATGTTATCAATTACAGTAAACAGTTTCAATTGACTACTTCCTCCTGAAACTCACTGTTCCCTTTACTTCGTGATCATTTTCTTAAAACGAAAACAAAAACCTTTTCTGAATCTGCCTAATGGACTTCTTTTCCTGCATTGTCCTGTATTAGAGAAGTCTAACTGCTCCAACCCACATAGCCACCCTCTGGGCTGGCCAGGTGCTGATTTCTGGCCAGGCCAGTCTCCGCGGATCTGACGCAGGGCTGTGTTCTTTCCACATAGTAAGTCTCCGCAGATGTGGCACAGGGCCGTGTTCTTTCCACACGGTCGTGCAGGGTTTCAGGCTCCCCAGGGTGCAGTGCTGCGTGTTAAGGGTTCTTAGTACATTTCGGGAGAAAACAACCCAATTAAAAAATAAGCAAAAGATCTGAACAGACATTGCATAAAAGAAGATATACAGATGGCAAATAATCATATGAAATGGTACTCACCATTACCTGTCATCAGGGGATTGCAAACTGAAACAACAATGAGCTACTATTGCAAGCCTATTTGAATGTCTAAAGTCCAAAATACTACATCAAGTGCTGACAAGGATGTGGAGCAACAGGAAGTCTCCTTCGTTGTTGGTGGGAATGCCAATGGTACAGCCATTGCGGAAGGCACGTTGGCAGTTTCTTACAAAGCTAAACGTAGTCCACCATACTATCCAGCAATTACACTCCTCGGTATTTAAATAACAGGAAGATTTATGCTCACACAAAAACTTACACACAAATGTTTATAGCGGCTTTATTCACAATTGCCAAGACTTGGAGGCAACCAAGATGTCCTTCAGCAGATGAATGAATAAACAAACTGTGATAAACACAAACAATGGAATATGCTAAAAGGAAATGAGCTCTCAAGCCGTGAAAAGACAGGGAGGAACCTCAGCTTCATACTACTATGTAAAAGAACCAGTCTGAAAAACTACACACTGTATGATTCCAACTATATGACATTCTGGAAAAGGCAAAACTGTAGAGACAGTAACAAGATCAGTGACTGCCAGGTCTTGAGGGGCTGAGGGAGGGTGAGAGAGGGAAGAATAGGTGGAGCGCAGGGAATTTTCAGTGCAGGTGAAACCATTCTGCGTGGTGCTACAATGGTGGATACATGCCATTATGCATTCGTCAAAGCCTAAAGAACTATACAGCGTGAACTCTAGTGTAAACTATGGACTGTAGTTAATGTATCAATATTGGTTCATCAGTTGTAACAAATGTTCACTAGTACTATATTAATAATAAGGAAAACTGCAGGAAGGATGTATAAAGGGTTGTGGTACCTCTCTACTTTCTACTCAATGTTTCTGAAAAACTGAAACCCCTAAAAATAAAGTCCATTAGTAAAAATTAGAAATAAAATATAAGATCC